AGACAAACCCACTCTGAACATAATCTTGTCAAGAAAATGCCACAAGTCAAAAATGATTTGGAAGGCACATAAAAATAATGCATAGGATTTGCCATAAGTCAAAGGTGATTTGGAGGCAATGAACAACAATAAAATGCTGCTTTTAGGACCCAGCCTGATTCTGACGCCTCTTGGGGCAGATGGCTTGGGGTCTCAACCACCAGGGAGGGTGCTGAAGGAAAGGGGAGTGGGAAAACCCCATGACCCTCTTCCTCTCCCCCTTTCTTGCCACACTCTCTTAGCCTCCCCTATCCTCTCCCCACCCCATGGAGCTGCCATCTGGCTCCTCCAATATTGCCACAAGTGAGGTTGTTAACTTTTGCTGTTATTGCTCATGCTATAATGTTGTTATTATTGTTCAATTTATCAAAAGCTACTACACTAACCACGTGGTGATTATGACAATGAAAATTTGTAATATCCTGGTTGTCTTCTACTTTACGTGTTACTTAACATTTATGTTTAAAAGCATCCACTGGACTTGAATTCTTTGGAAACTTTGGATGGTCAAAAGAGAAGTAGGTTAAAATCTTCTAAACCAAGCCCTGAAGCCAGTATCTGTGGTTGGCCCTTGTGATATTCTTATTATCATTCATACTCTACCTTCCCACTATGTGGATTTGCTTTACCTCCCTCTGCAACAGTTTTGATGGACAAGTTGATGTTGTAAGCTTTCTGTGTTTAAACTGTTCTTTGCAGCTGGGTGAGTGGCAGCAGCGTAGACTGATTGAGGTTGCCGCTTTAGTATTAAACTTGGTGGCAATTATAATTATTACAAAGCTAAGGCATATCACTGGTAGGACTGCGTGTGGCAAATGTTTTTTATGTGGTAAAATCTGTACAAGCACACTCACTTTGCAGTAGAAAAAAGCATTGGTTAAATTAAAAGGTTATACTATTGTTGCAGTCCTTTATAGATAGTATCTTATATCCATGGTATTTGCCAATAGCATGAGCAACTCATGTAATTTGATAGTTCCTTGATTTCCCTTTTTTTAAAAAAATCTCAACCAGTTATATATGCTGGACTTCAGTGATATTTATTTTCTTTCTTTCTTGGTTTAATTTATATCTCAGCTTTCAAATTAAGGCAGCATAAAATACAGTAAAATGCATACTGGATCACTGAAAATAAACAATGGTTGGACAGTTTCAGAGAGGATAGTTGTGTTAGTCTGTTGTGCAGTTACATTAGTTCAGGGAGGGTAGCCTAGTTGCTGCAAAACCAACAAAGCATCTTGTGACACATTAAAGACTAATTTTATTATGGCTTAAAGTGCTTTGTTA